ATTTATAATAGTTCCTATGGGATTTGCATTATTTATTTATTTACAATATTTTTAGCCATGCCATTACCAATTATCTCTTGTCACTATACAGTTGTTTGACAACTGGGGAAAAATACTTTCCAAAGCTGTTAGGTGCTATCAAATCATTTCTGATGTGTGGTGATTTATACGAGTTAATGACCTCCAAAGTGCCATATCATTAACCACTCTGCTCAGATCTTGAAAACCAAGAAACCATGTCATGTTAGGTTGTTCTCTCTTCCCACTGCCCTTTCTTTCTAGCAATATTGTCTTTTCCAGTAAGTTCTGCTCAGGTCTTGCAAACTAGTGCCTGTGGCTTTATTTATCGAGACAATCTGTCTCATGTTACACCTTTATTTCTCCCTACTGTTCCCCCTTTTCCCAGCAATATTATTATTTCCCCAGTTATTATTTTTTTCTGATCAGTTTTGTATTCTCATTATGTGTGTATGGTAGGATAGCCTCAGTCGACTAATTTTTGTTTTAGTTAGAGTGCAGACTTGATTTGATTGAGCACCTACTTTTCTGCCTTTCTAGCTTTCCCTCCAACACCACATTTCAAATGAATTGAATTACCCCATCTTTCTTTTACATAGTATCAATCATTTTGACCTTGGTTCCCAGTGACAATCTTTGTCAACTCTGAGCTCTCTCATTTTTTTATTTCAACCATGCACACGTGTTCATAAAGCTTTTGGTCCTATATACAGTAGCTTTTTCTCCCTTGGGTTGTCTACTCAAGAAAAGGGTTCGGAAATTGGAACATAACCTTCTGTGTTCCAGTTCTCAAATTGGAACATAGCTTTCGATTCTGTGGAGTGGTTATGGCAACATTAGTTTACCTGAGAGTTAAAGAGTGTGTATATTTTTCTGTTGTATCTGTTGCACTTAGACCTTTTGTCTGTTGTGTCTGTTGCACTTACTCACTCCATTTCTTCACAATTAGGTGAAATGGGCTCTAGTTACAGGAAACCAGATTTAGGCTGAATATCAGGAAAATCTTCTTAACTGTTAGAGCAGCATGACAATGCACAATTGGTTCTAAGCAGATTTGTTTATCTTGGAGAGCTTGGCCGTAGACAGTGGACTTAATGCTATGTTCTGGATGAAAGCTGGAGGCAAGTAAATGTAACGGTTGGTGGCTTTTCAGTATAGCAGTGCTGGTGTGTTGCTTGTGCAATCACACTGTAGCATCTATAAAGCATGTATGTTGCATGGAATAAGTCAGTCTTAGCTTGATGGAAGGATGAACATTATTGGTCTTGGTGGCATTTGTCTAGTAATCCCTTGCCATAAGTCCAGATGATGAAGATGTCATCAATGCATCTCAAACAAAGGAGAGTTTTCTTGGTACTGGAATTGACAAGGTATCATTCTAGGTCCGCCATTAATATATTTGCATACTATGGAGCCATACATGTGCCCATAGTTCTGACACTGATCTGGAGATGTATGTTACTGCCAAAGGTAAAATAGTTACATGTGAGTACAAGGTGGCAAAAACTAGTAACCAAACTCACTGTGGCCTTATATGGAATGCAGGTTTTTTAATGGTTTGTAGACCATCTTTGTGAGGAGTATTAGTGTAAAGTTCATGCACATCCATTGTAGCCATGGTTGTGTCCTCTGGAAGATTGCAGATAGCCTAAAGTTTCCTTAGAGAGTCTACCATTATGTGTAGAAACAACTAATAAAGCTAACAAAAGAATTCCCTGAAGACATCCGTAACCAAATCTAACAAATAAACCGTAAGATATTCAGTAAGACTCCTTCTACTTACTACCTTGACCCTTGTATTGAGAATTGGTACCATCATCTCTTGGATGTTTGGAAAATGTAGAGTTTCTTATCAAACCACATGCCTCTAACACCCCCAGGGATATAAAAGATAAAGCCAACTTCATTCATAAACAGACTAACATATTTGCTTCCTTGGAAATTCTAGAATAAATAAGACTTTTCAAATGATCTAGTAAGAAAATCTGGAAGAAAAAAAATATTAAGTTAAAAATATTTGAAAAATCTGGTGGGTTGGAATTCCTTCTTCTTAAATATTCACTTCACCTCTGTTAAAAACACTGCCCCGTCTACTTTAAATTAAATCTAAGTGTTCAGTTGAAACTAGAGGCACAAAGTTAGCTGAAACTAGCTGAAGTCCCATTGCTTTCTGTACAACTTAATATTAGATTGATTAAAGATGTGTTTTTATTATATATTATACACACACACACAAATATATATGCACACACACAGATTTATGCAATTGTAATATTAGCCACAAATTTGGCATAACTGGCTGATTTTAAATGCAGAGTATGCTTTCCCCAAATTTTGGGTGAAGGTGCTTCCCTGTCCTGATCCATGAGCTACTCCTGACTCTTGGTAGGCATTATAGATAAGTTTGTAAATGTTTGGTATATGAGAAAGGATGGAAATGACAACCACTAAAGAAAATTAGACCTAAATTATAAAACCCTTGTTATTGCTGTTAATTTTTAATTTTTCTCCACAAGATCCGCAATACTAATATAAAAGTTGTTTTAAGAGCTTTTTCCAGGGGCCCCTGTAGGTTATGTTATATCTATCGCTCCCCTTGCCTCATTAAAACTGAGATAAGAAGTAAAACCAAATTTTGTCATGATCAGCCTACATTTTTATGAATGGTAGCTATATGGGAGCTGCAGATGTTTTATTACAGACCAATCCTTTTTATTTTAGTGGCACTTATTTCATATACAAAAGAGGTTCCTCGTGGACTGTGCCCAAAGTAAATTGGCTAGTATATGTTAATTCAACAGTGATCATAAAAATATGTCATGGTTTCCCCCAATTATACTGGAATTTCAGTTAGATGGTCCAGCTGTACTGAAGACTAGTATGTGGTTTATTTTTTTAAGTTGATTCTTTTTTTAAAAAAAAGTTTTAAGGAAGAAGCTCAGAATCTGTGAACAACTGTTCTTCAAGCTCTTATTTTTATGGTCCATTGATGCAAAACACTGAAGAAAACATTTTCTGCAGCCTTTATCTCTTTGACTTCTAAAATACAGCCTTTTCTGTTGAAGAAATGTGTCAGGGTCATGGAACTATTCACTGATTTGTGCATTGTCAGGAACCCAGTTACTTAGAAATATTCTGCAAATAAGCATTTTGTAACTTCCATGAACAAAGTTAAATCTCAGCTTCTTTCCCTCTTTCTTTACTTTTGATGGAGAAGGCTAATTTGCTTCAATGCTCATTGATCACCACCCAAGATTTAGTAACAGATTTGATTCAGCTGATAGTGATTTACAGATCAATTGAAGTTGTGCTTTATTCAACTGGGGGTATTTATTTGTTTGTTTAATCTAATTTGAGTATTCTATAAGCACTGCTGTTTAATAAATAAGATTTCAAGGCAGCGTGTAACATGTGCAAATCATCATACAATAATATGATAAGCTCTACACTGTGAAAGGAAGGAAGGAAGACCAGCATTAATAAGGCCATAAGCACTAGCTTTTTACAGTTTAATTATGCAGGCTACACATTGCACAGACAGACATCCAGCAAGTTGGGTAGTCAGTTTACCAACCTCAGAAGGATGGAAATCTGAGTCAATCCTGAGCTGGCTACCTGAGCCCATTGGAACTGAACTCAGAGCAGAGTCTTGGCTGCAGTATTGCAGTCTAACCACTGTGTCACAGCAATCAGGAATACCGTAGTGTGGATGATCTTGACCTCGTTTTGTAGTTACATGTCCTTACACCCAAGGATCTTTTCTTGTTCCTTCATAGATGCCCTACCAAGTTTCAGTTTTCTTCTGACTTCTTGGCTGTAGTCTTCTATTGAATTATATCTGTGCCTATATTTATTTGTGAGTTCATGAAAGAGTTTACAAAGCTTGTAACAGGTGGGTGGTTTTTTTTGCACTATAGTTCCCAGAATCCTCAATCAGCATGGTACTATCACAGTGTTGCAGAGGGAGGGAATGTGTTAGATTTTAATTCAGCTTTATTTAGATTCCAAATGAAATAAATGTTAAAACATTGAAAAGTGAGGGTCCAGGTGTGGTTTGATCTAGGACCTAGGATGAGTGCAAAACATTGTGAACTGATAACAGTTACTAAAAACATCTACAGATGAAATCAGTGTTTCTATACTTTTTACTGTCAGCGTACAAACCTTATGGAGCAGGATTCTTATTATCTCCACTGCCCTTTTTGTGGGGCAAAAAAGTTTCAAAGCCCACTGATTTCAGCAGCAGTGTTGTGTGTTAATGTGTCTAGAATGGTCCAGAATGCAGCAGCTAGGCTTATTAGTGGGGTGAGAAAATTTCAGCATATCTCCCCCACTCTAGCTGCACTGCACTGGTTGCCTACTCGTTTCCGCATCAACTTCAAATTGTTAATGATCACATATAAAGCCCTAAACGGTTTGGGACCTCAATATTTGGCAGATCACCTCCTCCTGCCCAGGTCTACCCGAATCACCCGACGAAGCCAACAGGGGCAGCTGAGGGGACTGACGCCGAGGGAGGCCCGGAAGGAGAAAACAAGAAACCAGGCCTTCTCGGCAGTCGCCCCTCGGCTGTGGAACACACTCCCCACTGAAATTCGGCTGGCACCCTCGCTGGGTGTTTTCAAAACTCAACTAAAAACCTGGTTATTCAAACAGGCCTTCCCCCCAGTCAACTAAGTAATTTTTTCTTTTTCTTTTTTTTCCCTCTTGTTTTTTGACTTTTGCCATTTTGTACTATATATATATTACTTATACTGTATGCTGTTTTAATGTGTTTTAAATTATGTAAGCCGCCCCGAGTAGACGCTGTGACTCAGTACTCCAGTGCATTAGAACTGAGTGAAAATAGTATTTGTTCACGCGAAACATGTAGGCAGAGAATTTTAAATAATTAAGTGTTTGCTGGATATGTGAAGAAGGAAAAAAATGAGCAAGTTGCAAACATCTGGTATACTAAACATAATTATCTCTTTCTCCAACAGGTTCTTCTTGAAATTTTTTCTTAAATGTAACCAGAACTGCCTAAAAAATGCAGGAAACCCTCGAGACATGCGGAGATTTCAGGTCAGTGTGACTTCCTCCACTTATGATTAAGCACCTTTTGAGGATGTGGGCTAGGAAAGAATTTTGGCTGAAGTGGCCTGGTTAATTAGTTACGTTCTGCCTTTTATCTAGCACTGTGGTTTGATTTTTTTGTCTGATTTTTATGAGCCACTTCGGGTTCTACTACTGCACAGCAATGCAATATTGGTTAATAATATTAAGAAGTTGAGAGATGCTAAAAGTTGCAGTCATCAGCATTTGATACACCATTTGAAAAAGGATGATTTTCTTTCTTCATTGCTTATTTCAGGTCTTGCACATTGCAAGCTGTGACCTCCTAATTTGAATGTAGCCCACTAATTATTTTTATTGATTGATTGATTGATTGATTGATTGATTGATTGATTGATTGATTGATTGATTGATTGATTGATTGATTTCTATCCCACCCATCTAGACTAATGGGCAGTTTACAAATTTAAAAACAATAAAACTAATAAACATATATTATAGATCCAAGGTGGCGAAAGTATAAGTATAAATTATGATACGGCAGGAGGGAAAGCCTGCCAAAATAACCATTATTGATTGATTGATTGATTGATTGATTGATTTGTTTTGATTTGATTTGATTTGATTTGATTTCATTTCATTTGTACCCCGCCTGTCTGGACCAATGGACCACTCTAGGCGGACAGGTTTTAAGTTTATTCCTGAAAACACCCAGAGAGGGAGCCAGATGGATCTCCACTGGCAAGTTGTTCCAAAGGCCACTCCCGTTCCTTGTTCTTTCCTTCCAGACCTTCCTCGGCATTAGGCCCCTCAGCCACCCAGCCTGGCTGGAATGAGTGACCCTGGCAGAACTGGGTGGGAGTAAGCGTTCCGCCAAGTATCGAGGTCCTAAGCCGTTTAGGGCTTTATATGTAATCATAAGAACTTTGAAATCAATGCAGAAATGAATGGGCAGCTTTTTAATTAAGTAGTCTTTCCCATTTGTAGCTCCCCATATGTTCTTGGACTACAACCCCCATACATCCTTGCATGATAGCTAATAGTGAAGGCTTCTGGGAGTTTTAGTCCAAGAACATATGGGAACCCATGGTTGGGAACTACTGGACTAGGTGTTTAACAGTCCTAATTTTTTGCTCCCAGGTCAACAGCAAAAATTAGAGATTTATTGAGTTACAGGTTGCTCTGCGTTGTTCCTGCACTACAGTTCAAATTAGGAATCCTATGTGAGTGAATTGCATGAAGTCCTTCCAACTGAATTCCAACACACTCTATAGCTCTGTAAGGCACATTATATTAGGGACGTAGGTGCGACTTCAACTTCCATTTCCATAGCCAGTGGAGACAGACAGTGAGATATGCAGTCCAGCAACACCAGGAGGGCCATGCATTCCCCTTTTGTAGTACACAAAGTGAAATATCAATTGGGCAAACTGTCTAACACTAGCATACAACATTTCATGGATTCCTTGCAAACAACCCATCACCAGTTGGGGGGAGTGTATATGAATGAACATAGTATCCACCAGGAGGTAACTCCCATAAATTTCAATATGTCCTCTTCACCACACTCCACCACCAATGTCATCATAATGTAAAGCTATGTCAGTGGAGTTGCTTCTGCCTGCTTGGGAAATAAAATAAGCTGTATTCAGATGTTGCAGAATTGAATGCGACTGGTTAGCAAGACATTGGGAGAGAATGTGGGGGCATAGGGTCAGTCTATTCTCTTGCATATAGTGAAGTTTCAGGATAAATTTGAAACTACCTCTGCCACCCAGAGAAGGAGAAATGTCTTGAATACAAGAGGTGTATATTAGACTGTAATGACTTAACTCCATCCAATGTGCGCTGTTGTTTGTCACAATGGATAGATCACATGCTTATTTATTGTAACATTTTGATTCAACTTTTAGTAAAATGAACTCTATTTCTTCTTCTGAGAACAGTCCAGAAGGACATGGCCCACACACTGTTTCTCAGACAGTCAATGTCTGTATATTTAACTTGAGGGAAGCTGAATTCTAGAAGTCTATGCAACAAGGAAATCACAATGTTGTTTTTGCCTGATGTCTGTGTGCTTCTCATTCACCTTAGAACCTGGACCTGGTTATTAGTGAATTGAATTCTATGACATTTCTGTGAAAAGTTGTTTACTTGGTCACAGAATTTGTGTTCTCTTGACCCACCATTTCCGAAATGTAGAGGGAGAATTCTTAAGGACTTCTGATCTTCCCTCCTTCAGAATCTCTTGCTGTCACCGCATAATTATTAAGCTGTTGGTTATTCAATGTATTCGGGAAGGCTATTCCTCGAGAATGTCCTCAGACAAGTTCTCACAACCAGGGCAATCTAGCGTGAACAGCCAGGGCTGAAGCCTGTCAACGAGACAGTCATGCTTCCCTCTGTGCTGGCAGTTTGCAACTCCCCCAAAATGTAAACTGATTTTCATATGGTAATGCTTCTGCATGTTCTGTCAGAGGAGCAATCAAAGCTTGTGTAGCCAACTAGGTAGGGCATAAGAGGGGTGGCTGATCTCTTGACTTGTAAAGACGTTCTGTCAAGCAAAACCAGCCTCACAGCAGTTGAGTTCTCCTTATGTAAACAGAGACTGCTTAATTACACAGGTCATGTCAATTAGAGTGACCTTAGCATTTTAAAGAAATTAATCACTTTGAGCAGAGCAAGTCACCTCTCATACTTTAATATTCAGAGTGGCAGCAAAGTGTGTTGAAACACATTCAATTGCATTATGGCTCCCTACCCCACCCTCATCTTTACTTTGAACCTGTTGCTTGAACATAACAAAAACAAAGCTGCCTGTTGATACCATATATTAATTTTGCCAAGGCAATAATGGAATCTGCAAAAATTATTTTTCTTCTAGTCCCACACAGAGCTCTTCTGTCTCAGGTCAAAATATCACACAAAGTCTCTTGGGTGGGATTAGCAGTTCTCACTGACCTGCGTATTCCTCTAGGTTGTGTCAAGTCACCCTCCTCCAACCTTCCAGCCCATCATCTGCCTTTTCCTAATGAACATCTAATTTCTACTTGCCTTACCTCAGCCCAGCTCTAAGAGAAAGGAACTAACAAGTCCTTGCAATTTATTAAAGCATGACTCTGCATTTCCAGTTCAGGAGCTATTTACAGGTGTGGACAATTAGACCCAACCATAGTGTTAAGTTCTAGAGTTGAAAGCTATATGTTGTATACCTTGTTTAGCACCACCCCTAACAATGTGCAGTTCTTCCCACTCAACCACAGGCCATATGTCAAGGGAGGTTCTGAAGAGGAGACCTTAGGCTTGCACATCAGCTGGAATTATGAGCACTCTGGGTTACAACGTATGAGGCCAATGTAGGCACATTCAGCAGCCCTACCCCACCTTAGGCCTTTCCCCTCTCATAAGCAGTGTGGAGGCCAGAACGTCAGCAGGTCTCTCTCTGTTCCTGTAATGGTAATTGAGAGAAACATAAGCAGGAACAACTTTTTTTACTGCAGATTACTTGAAAACAGGTGTGATACTGCCTATTTCACATGCACAGCATTACTGCAGGATGTGGACCAGGGCCAGTGGCTCCCCCCCCCCGCGCGCATTGCAAGCAGGCAGGACTGCCCTGGTCCAACACTGTCATTAGTGACAGGAAGATTCCCAATGCTACCCACCTGAAAGAATGGCAGGGCATGAGCAAATGAATCGCAGACACACACAGAGACACATTGAAAAAAGCCTTTTCTAAACAGTTCTGGAACATCTGAATGTTATTGTGGGGAAAACTGGCACATGAGGTTTTCTTTGAGTTCCTGAGCTTGTGCAGAGAGATTCCATTCAACTTTCCATGATCTTGGTTCAGAATTAGGTCAATTTTCTCTGAGTTTTTCTCCAGATGTTTTTGAAGATGGTTCACGATTAAAACGAGATCCAACATTAAAAGCGTTGCAGAAGTGCTTTGATATGCAAATGTGGACGGGGATATGATCGCTTTAAGCGGGTCCAGCCAGTCACTACTGTGTACAGCCAGGTTCTGCAGCAGAATATCAGAACTGCCCTCTAAGCTTGTACTTAGAAAAATGTGCATTTGTTCAATATAAACATATCAAATGTACTTTTGGGGCAGTCCCACAGCATAATAATGAAACACTTACAATTATACATATCCAGGACAGCAAGAATACAAAGCAAAGTAAAAGCAAAGTGTACTAAAGACTACTTAAAACACTCTCTGGGCAGTTTACAATTTAATGATGCAGGCTATGCATTACCCCCTGCTAAGTAAGCTGGGTACTCATTTTACTAACCTTGGAAGGATGGAAGGCTGAGTGAACCTTGAGCCGGCTACCTGAGCCCAAGATCAAATTCAGGTTGTGAACAGAGTCTTGGATGCAGTACTGCAGTTGAGCCACTGCCCCTTGTGGAGTTCTTAGCTGGAAACAGGGCTGCTGAACTGGGCTTGCAATGTAGGGTTTTGGAGTAGCGGTCATAAGTGTTTTACTGCCAGGTTTTTGCCAGACATATACATGACATTTCGTAAGTCTAATTTTAAAGATCACCAACAAGAGGCTACATTTGTGTAGGCTTCAAGCAATTTCCTAAACTGGCCAAGCTTCTAATACTTTGTTGGGTCTGGCACTCGAGTTACTAGAGTAATAATAAATATATGTGTGAGGAACTGTCTGGCTAGATGTCATTTCAGCTTCTTCCACATAACGTTGGGAGGTGTAAACAGGAATATAAATTTCATTCCAGAAAAGGGATATTGCTGAAAATAGCCGGAATGTCCCATGAATTAATTGGCTAGCAAAACTTAATGGGCTGTGGTTAAAAATGAGGAGGAGTGTGACTTGAAATATTATCTGATGCACCATAACAAACAAATAGACTTTGTGTTCCCACTCAGATAAACAGCTTGATTTCATAACCTCCAATTTTTCTTTTCCAGTATTTTTTGAACTAGCTTATATAGGGCATTTTCAGCAGAACTATTCAACATTAAGCAGAACAACCTATCT